TAAGACTGTTACATAAATGGAACGAGGTGGAGCGTCGCCTGTAGGGATGGCATTCTTCACTCAGGACAAGCCCCTGTGAGATGCACTCCAGTGGCTGCCATGTCACTACTTGGTTCCTTCTTACTGATGAAGAGGAGTCCATCCTTAGTTTTGGACTCAATTTTAGACCAGAACCCGGCGATGAGAAAACCCACTCTGGAGGCCTGAGAGTTGCAAAACAGCCCTTCCTTGCTAATGTCAGGGGTGGGGCACCTCTGGCCTCCACACAGAGTGGCCCATGGCTCAGCAAGCGTCCATGGGGTGGTTTCGAAGGAGTCGCAGTGCCTTGTTGGCTCAGCTGGTTCGGAAACCGGCCAAGAGCCTTCACTCCTGAGCTGTTGGTCTGGGTGGTGTGGTGCCCATGGACTGAAATATGTGGAGAAGCAGAACTCGGGAGGAAGGGTTCCTCAGTGTCCCCACTTTGTTAGCAGGAGAGAGAGTTATTCAACCATTTTCTTTTTATTTGGCTTCTTAGACGTTTCTTTTATGTAAACGAGTGGCCCGGTGCATGAAATTTGTTCACATTAAAAGGGGATTAATTAGAGGAAATATTTTAATATTGCTCTTTTCCCTTTCTCTATAATAGAAGTGTCAGAGATGAAAGAAAATTAGTAAAACATATATGAAAATCTTCCTCCTGTCAGAGTTGGGCATGCTGTGGGACCCAGAGTCAAGTCCCTGCCCACCCGCGTGCACCTCGAAATTGCACGAGACCCAGATCCGGCCGGCCCCACCCCCATCAAGCCCCGCCGGGCTGGTGGCACAGCCTCAGGTCCCCCACCCTGGCCCAGCACCACACAGCCTCAAGTCCCTACTGATCGCTTGTTGCGGGAACCCCACCTCCACTGTGGGCGCAGCCATCTTGTGACGGTGTGATGGAGTGAGGGTCATTTTGCATATTACCTCTTTATTATAGGATTGACCACACCTCTCATTTCTCCCTAGGGGTAGGGTGGGGTCAGGGACAGAATCTCCTCTGTCATCAGTGGGGTTTGTGTTACCGATATTGTCAGCACATGGGTTTTGTGTCACTGTCGAGCTAACCCTGTGCCCCTGATCAAACGGGGTGTCAAACGGGGTGTCAATGGGGTGCCTGGCAAAAAGGCACTTAGAGAACACCTCTGCCTCCTCCATGCCCTTGTCTCCAGCAGGGAGAGCACCGGCAGGGCTCTCCTGTTGGTTGATGGGGCTGTGTTCTCAGCATCCTCCTCTCCTTCCACCCCTTCTGGAAGGTTCTGGACCATTTCACAGAGGCATGCATGCCTCGCTGGCGGTTTTCTTGTTTAACTACCATTTGGAAACCGGAAAGGCCGTTGCTGAGACACCGACAGTGTCTGGCTTGTGATGGGAGTTGACACCTATCCATTTTGGGGCCTGCATGTGCGCGGGGCCCAGCAGTCAGGCTGTCCTTCGAGCCGGACTGATGTTAAGGGGGCCCTGGTCCCCTGACGAGGACTCTTCTCACTCCTCTGGTCTCTTCAGAGTTAACAAGGCGGCGTCATGGCTCGGCTGACTTTCCTGCGGACACGTGGGGACACAGCCAGGCTTCTGGGAGCTGGGGGTCGGACTGCTCAGACCAGCTGCCCTCGCACTGCAGCCAGCTGGGCAGCCGGGGTGTGGGAACACAGCTTGAGTTCACAGAATGACGTTGTTGTGTGGGGGCTGCTGCTCATGGAGCCTCTATTCTTCTTTCTGTCAAAACTTGGCGTGTGCTGACCTGATCAGCAGCACCCATTTACCGATTCCCTTCTGTGTTTACTTTTCCAGTCGTTTCCAAGGCTCCCTCCCCCCAACCTGGCATCCTCCTGTCTTGTTTATTTCTCCAGCAGCCTGCAGCCCCATGGATGGCACCCAGCTCGGCCACCCCTGCTCACCTCGCCCGTCCCAGCCCACTGGCTGTGCAGGGCACAGAGGTGGGAAAGCAGGAGGCTGGAGGGCGGAGCCAGGGACGGATGGATGGACTGCATCTGGGACAGCACAGAAAATAGTCTGTTTTGTTTTTTAAAAAGTGGCTGAGTGCCAAGACTTCCCTTAAAGTTTTCCACGCACTGTCCTTATATTTTAAGACGAGAGTTTTAAAATCTTGGCTGTTGGGTCTTTTCGCATTTTTAAAACATAAAGCCAGCTGAACATAATGAATATTACAGAATTTCCGTAAACGCTCTCTACAAAGACCGAGTATGCGCAGTTTCTTCCCGGAGAGCACTTTTCTTACTGAAGTTGAAACGGAGGGGGCGGGGGGGGGGATAGTGACGCGTGGATTTGACCCTCCGCTCTCTGTGCCAGGTGCGCTGTGTTGGGCCGTGGGAAGAATGAGCTTTCAGTGTGGCTGTTTTCCCCCGCAATGAAGGGTGATTGTTTCAAAGCTCACGGCTATGGTTTGGGTTTTGTTGGGCTGTAGCAAGTGGAGGGGATTCCGGGAGGGATCGCGTGGCTACAGTCAGTGTAAATACCTCAGGTCTCACATGTAAATCCTGTCACCGCACAGGGATGGCTCACTCCTCAGACACTCCTTGGTTTTGCCAGATGATATCCAGACCAGGTGTCCGCTGCTTCATGCCCGAGGGGCGAGGCCTTGCTGGGAGGGAGTTCACAACCACAGGCTGGGCAGGTGCATACATTCTGTGGAGCGAGTGCAGGCACCATCCCTGGCGACTTGGGCTTCTGCTGTCACAGGGTCAACCCTGGCCCTGGCGGAGGCACGTGCTGATCGAGTCCACTGAGTCACCTCTGTGTCTTGGGCACCCCTGGGAGTCCTCAGAGAGACCCTCCGAGAACATCTCCCCCGGGAACCCACGCGGGACCGCTCCACTCTGCGCTGTCATCAGGCAGCTGCAAACGCCCGCTTCAGCGGCCTGTCTGCAGCCTCTCGGATTTCTGTCTTGAAATCCCATGGAATGCCACTTCCGCTGCGAAGCCCTCCACAGGCAGTTACCTGTTCCGGGTTAATTTTACTGGGAAGCCTCTCGGAGCAAGACTGTTCCCGCCGCTAGGATCAGGTGGATGATAACATGTTCATTTGTCTTCAGACCTTTGTCTAAAAATAAAAAGTAACGTTACAGACACTTCCAAGTTTTACTTCATATATGTATGAAGTAATATTCCAAGTATATCAGGAGATACATATATTTATATAATACCCTTACATATTTGAAAATCCACTGATTACTTAACGTATGTATCCATGAACATTTTCATGTCTACCGTGGAAAGCATCTGAAATAGAAGGGACAGGAAGCCCATGGCACACCAGGACAAGCCACACCGGTCAGGGACTGTAAATCCCATTATGCCGTTCGTTAAATATTTGGTTCCTGCTATGTTCCAGATACGGAGAAGCCCAGATATGAATAAAATGGGATCAGGGCATTTATTTAGCTGGTAGAGACTTAGAGATAGGCAGGGTAGACAGCAGCCTGGCATTCAACAAGGAAGGTATTACAGAAGATACAAGATGGGTTTTGAAGAGTGCATAGGAGTTTCCTGGGCAAGCTCTCACCACCTCAGAAATGTGGTTCCTTGGCCATAGTAGATGCTTATTTAACATAAAACTGTTATGTCAGAGGCTTGGGACTACTGAGAGCCTATACTAGTCCCTCCCTCCCCGGCACTAAGAGGCTGTCTCTGCCCCTCTTTCCTTGATTTAGAAAATTGGCTGTTTAAGGTAGTGTGAGGAGGGGGGTGCAAATTCCTTCTTGAACTTGAGCAGGTCTTCAGAACTGCTCCTGCCACCACTTTCCTGTCCTCATGAAGGAGGACCTGGCTGCATCTGCCCAGGGTGTCTGCCTCCTTATGTTAACAGGACACAGGACTCTGGCTTTCGTGAATGGGGAGTCGGGGCCTGGGAGATCCAGGCATCCCTCTCCGATTTGCTACATGATCCGGCAGGATACGTCACAGGATGGATCCCAAGGCTGATTGAAAGGGGAGAAACTATAATAAGAAACTCTAGTTTCCTGAGATTTGAATGGTTTGAAAGGTAGAGTGTGGCTGAGAAGTTGGTTACAGTAACGTCACATATTTTAAAAATATTAGTTATAGGGATCCTAATCGATTATAAGGTGGGGCTGGCAATGGCCAGCATTGGCCACAGCCATTCCTTTCCACCAACCACACCAGCCCTCTCACAACACAGACACCCCAGTTGCGTGGCAGCCCAAACGTTGAAAGTCCGGGTTCTACGGAAAAGCCACAGCAAGGTACCTGGCGCGCCTGCTGCCCAGGTGTTGGCCCTTTCTGTGCGCCTTCCGCCTGCCGCGGGGAGCCCTTCCCCTCCGGCCCCTGCCACTCGCTCTGTGTGGACAGGAAGTGGCTCAGATGGTGCGAAAGGCCCATGCAGTTGCTCTTCATCCCATGTATCGGAAAATAAATGAGAGTCCTGTTTAATGCATCACCTCTTTTCATATTGCATTTGCCAAGAAAGTGCAATTTTATTGAACATTAGGATTGAATTCTTAACTGAGTAATCAATTTTAGTAGTAAGTTAAAATGCCTTCTATTAATGGACAACTGCAACCGTTAATCAGGGTTACAGTGGATTACCTGTTGTCAGCATTTATGCTAATGGCGCTGGGGCAGGGTGGGCCTGTGCCTTGCCGAGTATAACTGCACTCCGCACCCAGTGGGCGATACTTTGTGCCGCAGTGCTGATGGCGTGGCGCCCCTGCTGGCTGCTCGGAGACGTGGTGCCGTTTTCACGGCGATGACACGTCACCTTCTAGGTCGGCACGCTGGCTTCGTGTCGGGAGAGATGGAAACGTTCATTTGTTCTGCTGCTCCCCTGTTTAATGTGATCTGCGCTGTGACTAAAGCAAGACAAATAGTATTTTTAATGAAACCGTTTAATAACCTCTGGAAGCCGGAGTCGAAGGCACTGGGAAAACGCAGTTAAAGGGCGGCTGGGTGTAAACAGCACAGACACCGCGGCTTCCGTTCCACTGACCCGGTCCTTCTGCTCTCAGGGTTTCATCACCGTGAGTGGTCGTGAACCAATGAAGCTGGATTCCCTTCAAGAGACGGACAGCCCAGCGTGTGGACTGTAGAGCTCGGGGACAGATTTATTTGGGTGAGTTACTGTAAAGTGCCTGCAGGTAACAGTTCCGGCTTTCTAGAGCCCCCTTCGGAATGTGCTTTCAATTAGTGGGTGACTATGGATCGCCGCAGCGTCTGGGAGTTTCATCGGGGTGTCTAAGAGCAGGGCCACATTGATTGCCGTTCAATTAATTGCATCTGGTATTTTCATTTATCAGAAGCAAAATACATGTAATTAACTCTGAAGCAATATAGTTTCGTGTGAAATGATTGCTGTTGCTGCTATAAAGATAAGTCAGCGGGAATGCTGCTGCTAGGAGCGCGGGTCAGAATGGGAGTCGAGTTCGGACTTCTCGACACATTAATTACAAAGAATAAAGATGAGTTAGGGAGACCGCCTCGACCCCCTCGAGTCGTCTGCACAGTGGGGGGTGCGCTTCCTCAGGGCGCCCGCAGCCTGCTGGCCAGTCTTCCCGAGCTTACACCCCCATGGCCAGCCCCTAGGCGGCTTGAGCACGGCTGGGCGAGTCCTGGCCGCCCAGGGTGTGAGTGAGCGGGACGGTCGAGCTCTGGCTGCACTCAGGGGCTGTGGTTGAGAAAGCATTGGTGATGGAGTCCGCCCTCCGCCCGGGGCCTGGCTTTAGTTTCAACACCTTGAACCATTTTCACAAACCCTGGCTCGTCCTGCAAGTGGCAGCTCTCGGAGTGATTGAGTTTTACCGGCTTTAAAACATGTTTCTTCTTGAGCTGGCACCATCTTCACAC